AGTTCGTCCGATTCGCAGGGTTATGCGATTCGGAAAGAGAGGGAAGCTGCACCCTCGGTTCATCGGTCCGTTCGAGGTTCTCGAGCGAGTAGGTGAGGTCGCGTATCGATTAGCCCTACCTCCCGAGTTATCATGCATTCATAATGTATTTCACGCGTCGATGTTGCGTAAGTACGTGTGCGACCCCGATCATGTTATTCCCCACTCAGATATTCAGGTTCAGCCAGATCTTTCGTACGAGGAGCGATCGGTAGCTGTATTAGATCGTCAGATTCGTCGGCTCTGGAAGCGAGATATTCCCCTCATGCGTATTCAGTGGGATCGCCACGGAGCTACCTGGGAGGAGGAGTCCGATATTCGCGCTCGTTTTCCAGATTTTCAGTTTTGATGTACATATTTTCTTGTTCTATGTAAATAGTTCATGTATTTCAGTTATATGTTGAATTTCCGAGGACAGAAATTTTGTAAGGAGGGAGGATTGTAATATCCCGTTAATTTCAGTATAAATTATATTTTAGTTCCGATATTAATTTTCGGAATTAATTATTTTCAGTCAGTTCAGTCGAAATTACCGGAAATTATTTTCGACGTACCGTTTACATTCGAAATAATTTTGGTAATTAATTGTTACGCTTAATTAATTAATTAAGCTTTCATTTAGGATTAATTGAGATAAATCATCATTAGTATTATATAATGCATTCGGATTTTTCCCTATTTAATTCTAAAAAGCCGTGCATTTAGTGGGGGTTTTGAGATGGAATTAAGTCCAAATTTTCTTCATGGTTAATGAGCATAAACGTGGCATTAAGAGATTTAAGAAGGGCTTAGTCATTTTTTAAAAGGTTTAATTAGCTTCCAAGTGTTGAGCTTAGGATCAACCACATCCTCTCTTCATCATTATAGCCATTCGGTCCTTAGTATAAAATGGGATGTTGGGACCGATTTTTGCCACACTAATTAAGCTTATATCCTCCCAACACTTAGCAAAATATTCAGCAAAGAACCTTAGCCTATATTGCACACACGGCTAGTAAGTACCGCCCGTCGATCGTCGCACATCAAGGCCATCGCACGTCCGAGTCATTGCGCCGTACCACAGGCAGTCCGCGCACCGTAGGCTATCGTAAGCAGCCATCGTCGCACTCGTATCAGTAGTCCTTCACGGCAGCCAGTATATCGTTCGTTGATCAAGAGTACGCGAGCATCTTCGAGCGTTGTAGTGGTCCGTCGCCGCACCGCAAGCCACCGCACGGCGTCGCACACACGCGGAGGGTCACGACCGAGTTCAGGAGTTCGAAACGATTAGTCACTTGGGCTTAATCAGAGGTAACTCCCGACGGATATTGACCGAGATTAGCATGTTTATTACGTTTAATTTTAGTTAAACATGCATGCGTGTTATGTGTGGTATAAGCCGTAGCCGTGTCGATCATGTTAAGCTCTAAGTTAAATGCCCGAACTATTCTCGCATATTTCGCTCTTATATGTCATATCATGTTTAGTTTAACTTAAATGTTCGGATGATAAGTCATGTTTGCGGTGTTGCGGCCAAGGATGACGTGGTTGCGCACGTAGCGCACCACGGGCCGCACTTGCTTGCTCAGTATATTAAGTTCAGTTCCTCGAGCATTTTTATGAGATTTATTCAGTAGATTATTAATCATGTTCAGTTAAGTTTGAATTGCCGAGGATATTTGAGATTCGGTCGTAAAACAGCATAATGCCGTCGG